TTCGTCCATTTTAAGGTAAATGGTGTACCACAGTCCCTTAATATCTTTCGATTTACGCGAAAGTTTAGTTTAAATCGGTAAAAAATTGTATAGAGCTACCATATATATTTTCTCCCGATTTTATGTAAATGATCACCCAAGAACTCTAAAAATCGGTTTAGATCTCGATATAGCTTTCACACACACACACACACATATATATATATATATATATATATATACTTCCGATTTTAAGTAAATAGTGAACCAAACTACTCATGTTTATCAGATATTTATCCAAATAATCAACCGGTGTCCGATTGAAATTTGTTTTAAATTAATTTTGTCCCATTGTAAGAAGCAACTCTCTATCTGACCAAATGAAAAATTTAGTATAGGTTGCAGAAAGACATGCTTATGGATCCTATTTCATTTTACTAGTCCTTCAAAAATGCGACGTCTGTTAGGATTTATCTGTTGAATATACCCAAAGTGGTGAAGGGTATCATATAGTCGGGCTCGTCCGACTTTACTACTTTCCTTACTGGTTAAAGTAGGTTTTAATACTTTTCATCCATTGTGAAATAGTAAAGCGATCCATTTTCGTGAATGTCAGACCTAAAAAAACAGTAAGGAAAGTAGTAAAGTCGCACGGGGCCGACTATATGATACCCTTCACCCCTTTGGGTATATTCTATACATGTAACAGACGTCGCCTTTTTCGAAGGAATATTGTCATACAAGTTTAACTTGAATATGTGATATTTCCATACATATACCATTCAGCAACCTACATATGTCAATTCGGGTAGAATTCCAGTCCCATACTTTTGAAACCACGAAATGGACAACCCTTTTTTAAACATTTATAAAATTTAGCGAAGTTACAGTACTATTTACAGTCACTTGGTTACGAATTTTTGGCAATAAGAACACATTAATTCTGCAGCAAACCAGATATATCATCTGTGACTATTCCCAATTCCCTGCCGAAATGCCTATAATTCAGCAAATATTTATATCCATAGGTAAGGGATCTCGTTAAGTGTGTTCATATTTTGAAACTTTGGTGTTGAAAATTGAATTAGAAATTTAAAATACACTCCATTTTGTGGGCCAAAGCGTATGGCTAATAACGGTATAAGCTCTTTGTTACGACAAAAATGTACCTCATCGAAATATTGGTTTTATATATTGTTGGGAGATGAGACTTACCGGTCCCCTTCTTGTAGTACCCGCCTATGAAGGGTCAACATGATTTTAAAATGTCATATGGAGTGAAAGGAATATTCAATTTCTTCCAAACTTTGCACATCTTTATATTTTATATTTTTATTTAGCCTAGATCAAACCCGAAAATGGAATCCATCGGTCTACTCTAAATATTGTTTGGAAAGTCCGAATTGATGCTAAGAATCGTGATATTTCTTCCAAATTCAATTCTACTCGGTACCGACCAATTTTCTTTATTTTGAAGGCTTTAACATAGTCACCAAAGGGCGTAATATCATCCGTGTTATTAGCTAGATTACAGTTCAATTTCAAAAAGTATACAAATATATATTTCATTGAACATAACCTTGTTTTGAATAATTATACATACAATTTTTACCAACAGCAATACCGCAATAAACATATCTCAATTATTGTTCAGCACCTTCAAAATAAGCAGTTGTCATTTATTTAGAAAAGGTCCTATTGTGTATAGCCTAGAGGTAATTTCTTTCCGACACCCAAGAAATTCATGTTCAAATAAATTAACCTATAACATGACAACTACTTATCATTCTACACAACAATTACTTTCTTCCCAACAAAAAAATTATAGGTTTGATGACATTTTAACATGAATATAAAATACGTGATCAATATTTAAACTTCTGTAAAAGTTAATAATAAAAGTACAACAGTTTTGGAAAAAACGCCATCAGTGCTTATGGGTGTCATAAAAACGATAACACCTAATAGACTACATGTCAAGTCAAGTGCAACAAAATTTCGCAGTTCAATCAGAAACAACATGCGACAACAGTTATTACACAGATCAGGATGGACAAAAATGCGCGATAATGTGATCAGCTTTTCTTACGCCTGTAAGCATTCCGAACATATGTAGACATACATATCTATACACTGTTAAGACATTTAAATTATTTCTCGTTGCTGTTGCTGTTTCTGCTTCTCCTCCTAAATGTCGATGTAAAATTACACGTTTCGTAGATACACCTCAAACAAGCAAACGAATTGCCAAATTGAGCAACAGTACTTCCTTTGTCCGAACAAAAAGAAACGATTCTCATTATTGTTTTGCAATCCCAAAAATAACCCCAAAAGAAAAACATTGCCTTCATAACAACAAATATGGATGAAGAAGCCAAGCAACCAACCAGCTAGCCAGACAGCCAGCCAACTGGTCAGCTAAGAAAGGAACTCTTGCAGACAGACGGAAAAGTAACAGCAATAACAACAATAATGATCTAAAGGATCGGCCCAAAACTAAAATTGAAATAAATGCAACAACCGAGGGAAATGAAAGAGTTACCACAATAGGGACAGACAATTCGCATTCGCATATATGGGGTTTGTCTTTGGCACTCATTTTTTGTGTTTTTTTGTTCTTCCGAGATCGCATAAAGAAGAAAACGAACCAAATGATATGTCATCATGTTGTCAGTTGCCAATAACAGACTTAAAAATATACCTTAAATATCTTTGTTGTTGTTGTCGTTGTCGTTTGGTAGGTTGGCTGGATGGCTGACTGGTTCTTCCTCCATCGTCGTTGCAAATGATGGCAATGTCAGTGTGTTGCTGGTGTTGTTGTTGCTGGTATGAATGAAAGAAATGCTCTCGCAACACCCCAAATTGCAATTAAAGTTAATTTCAACAAATTGCATGCCACAAAGTGTTAAAGGGAATCTGGAAGCAACAAGGCAAACGACCATCAGACAGACATACGGACTGTGGCACACTGACAGTGAATGGTGTTCAAAGAACACCACAGAAAACTAATGCTTTAACGTGAAGCCTTAAGCGGTTTCCCCAAAAAAAGAAAAATAATAAATTGGAGTTATTCCGCTATGATTTGACCAGTTGAAGTAATATATATTCCATATCCTCCACCACAATATGGAAAGTAAATATTATTGATCTGTATGAAGTTCTAAATGCGGTCTATCTGAAGAAGAATACCACCAGCTCTGCTATAGGAGGAAGAATACCTCCAGCTCTCCTATTGGAAGACGAATACCTCCAGCTCTTTCAAATGAAGAAGAATACCTACAGTTATCCTCTAGGAAGAAGAAGACCTCCTGCTCTCCTAAAGGAAGCAAAATACCTCTAGCATTACTATATGAAGAAAATTGCATGCAGCTCTCCTATAGGAAGAAGAATACCTAAAGGTTTTCCGTAGGAAGAAGAATACCTAAAGCTCTTCCATAAGAAGAAGAATACCTCCAGCCCTTCCACAGGAATAAGAATACCTAAAACTCTTTCACAGGAAGAAGAATACCTGCAGTTTTTCCAGAGGAATAAGACTACCTACAGTTCTCCTCTATGAAGAAGAAGACCTCCAGCTCTCCCACAGGAAAAATAATACCTGCACTTCTTGCACCGGAAGAAGAATACCTACTTTTCTCCTCTAGGAAGAAGAATATCTCCAGCTCTTTCACAGGAATAAGAATAACTGAAAATCTTCCACAGGAAAAAATACCTACAGCTCTCTAATGGAAGAAAAACCTACAGCTTTCCTATAGGAAGAAATTACATGAAGCTCTCCTATAGTAAAAAAAATATCTCCAGGTCTTTTATAGGAAAAAGAAGACTTCCAGCTCTTCCGCAGGAAGAAGAATACCTACAATTCTCCTCCAGGAAGAAGAAGACTCCCAGCTCTTCCGCAGGAAGAAGAATACCTACAGTTCTCATCTAGGAAAAAGAAGACCTCCAGCTCTCCTCTAGGAAGAAAAATACCTCCAGCTCTTTCAAAAATCCAAAAATTTTGGATAGGTTCCACATATCGAAACTTGCCGATTTCCCAATCTAAGTTACTGCATTTGTTTCGAGTTCTGTGTGAGCGTTTTGATAATAAGAGAAAATCGGACAAATGGACAAATAAACATTGCTAGATCGACCCATAGGGCAATTGTAGAACTACACTGTGTGCCTAAAGGCAGATTTCAAGCATATATTGCAATCAGGATATATAATAGTGGGACGGACCGATTTTTTATCCTACACCACTTTGGCGTAACTAAGAAGTTTATCAATTGACTAGCTGAAGGACCATAAGAAAATTACATTGAAGCATCGAGAGCCTTTGAGAGGTCTTCTATAAAAATCTTTTCGTTAGAGGCCATCTATACAATAATGGGCTGTCCTCCATTTAAATTAAATTTTTTACCGACAGAAAGTTGTTGTGAAATCTTCTATAGAGAAAAGTTCCTTGGGAGGTGGAAGTGAAGCCAATCCTTTTAACATGTCCTGTAAATATTGGACACCATTTGGAACTCTTTTACAAAGAGAAATTGTTTGGAGGTTTGTATTCTTTAAAATGATTTTTTTATGGAAATTTAGAAAGGTAGAAGGGCTTCTATATATTGAAGATACCTTTAAAATCTTCTATACGTTTAGATACTTCTTCATAATTAGGAGATTTCTTTTTAGAAAACAAAAATCGCTTAAGAGGTCTTCTACAGAGAATATAAATTTCTTAAATAGAATAGAATTTCTTTATTTGGATATTGGACCCTTCTATACGTAAATAACCCTTAACTTGGTCCTTAAAGTATTTTCTACAGAAATTATAAACTAATGAGGAATAACCTGATTCTTGGGAGGACTTTTTCGGAAAGTGTACATTTGGGAGGATAGCGCAGCCAACACAAGGTCTATGAGAACATAATCTGAAATATTGTGAGGAACATTTGCACATTTTTTTAATTTTATTGAATGAAAGCAAAAAATGTCGGAAATAGTGTCAAATTTTAGAATAACTTTAGATTTGTTCGAATTGGTCACCTTTGGCACGAATTATGGCCTTCAAACGGCCAATGAAACCGTCACACGCTGCTCGAATGTTGTTCTGCGGTATTTTGGCCCATTCCCGGCGAAGCGCTTGCTTGAGGTGATCGACACTTTGGTATTTTTTAGTGTCAACCTTGCTTTCCAAAATACTCCAGACAAAATAGTCCAGGGGATTGGTATGCGGAGATTTTAGTGACCATTGTGCACTGGAAATGGATCGAGGAACCTCATTTTGTAACCATTCTTGGGTGGCGCGTGCTGAGTCCTGTTGAAATGTCCAAATGTTGCATGCCCAAGGCTTTAATACACCCTCCAGAATATTTTCACGATAATATTGGGCATTTATTCTGATGCCAGGGTCGATTAATACGAGCGGAGAACGACCATCGGCTGTTATGGCGGCCAACACCATCACCATGGCCGGCGCCTGAGTTCTAGTGGCCAACCCAAGTTGCACATTTTCAGCTGACCTCTTTGACAACTAAACACGATCACTTGGTTTGTTAACAAATTGCTGGACAACGAATGTTTTCTCATCGGAGAAAACCAAATTCGGCATTTCACCACTTTCTGCCAATCGAAGCTACTCTTTAGCTATTTTGAGTCTATTTTCTTTCTCAGTATATTTTCTGTTCTTGCATTTTTTGGAATTTCAATTTTTATTCACATTTAAATGCTGGAGTGCTCTTACGATAGCCACTTGTGGGTTTCCTGCCATATATAAAGAAATCACACTATCACGCTTGAATTCCATTACGAATAATTTCTTTCTGAAAAATTCTCACCAAAATGCTTTTGTACACTTGTAAACAATATAACAAGCTGTCACTGGAATAATTTTAACAGCTGTCGGACGAGCGGCTTAGAAATGACAGCAATCTGAAGTTGGTTGCAGTTTTTCCATCTTAACCTGTACATCCTCAATAGCCTTAAGGCCGAGGACATCAATATTATAAATATCGGTCGATCGTTGGGAAAAGCACTCATATTAAATAAACAGAATTGTAGCCAAAGCTACAAGTGGATGCAGAAACAAGTAAACATGTCGTTAAGTTCGGTCCTGCCGAATTTTTTATACCCTCTACCACGTGAGGTGCATTCAAAGTCGTTGGGACATTTTTATAGGAACTATGTTCCCGTTATACCACAACCCCATCCGTTGCAAAATGGGGCAAACATTTTCAAAATATCGAAAATGGGATGTTAACGTTCTATGGAAGCTATACCAATCCCATAAGAATTAGATAAATGAAATCATAGCGAATTCGGTTGAAAAATATACCCAAAAAATGGGTATACCATTATATGTGGGTTATTATATCTAGGAAATCTGAGAATTTTCTGATATCGCTGGCATTCGGAAGCTGGACTTTTTTTCAAAGCACCAAACTAAAAATCCGTTACCTAATCATTCCAAATATCATGCTTTTATCTAATTCCAAATGGAATTACCCCAATACACAAATGCAAAGAAACAAAAATGGATACAAAAATAACACCCAGCTGAAACAACTGAAACATAAAATAACACCCGAAGTGTTTAGATATGATATGCGGAATCGTAAGATGACGAAAAGGAATTGCAAAATAACAACAACAACAACTACCACAACAAAAATACAGAACGAAGAACCTTTTTGCGGAAAGACCAAGTCCAAATGAAATACTTGGCAATCGAATGAAAAGAACAAACTTAAGCAGGAAGAAGAAGAAGAACGGCAACAAAAAATTAAATTACACCTCAGAAATTACCTTGTCTTAGGAATGGATGGTGTTGCCCAATGATTCCTGAATTGAACTGCAGTTCAGTGGTAACAAGAAGAGCAACAGGAATTGCTCTGCAACGGATGGAAGGAAGAGAAGAGGTGCTGGAATACGAAGTCGCATTGCAGCAACAAATAAAGTAACAGAAATGATAACTGAAATTATGATGAAGTTTTAAAGCTGGTACAGAGTGAGGTAACAGCAAAAGACAATAACAACAATAGTAACAACGACAACAGCAACAACATGAATGAGTGAGTGAGTGACTGTATTCCCCGTTAAATTTAAGGCGATGGAAGGATGGTTGGGAAAATGGTATTGGGAAATTGGGGAATTTTGTCAGAAATGATTATCACGTTTTGCCATAACCTCTATACAAATGATTCGAACCATGTCCGTATTTTGAAGATTTTAGAAGTATTTTCCTACCGAAGTTGTTGTAGTTTAGAATTCAGGATTCATAGAGGCTGAAACCCCCGTTACACAAATTTGTCGATATAGGTCAATGTTTTCAGACTCCACCTAAAGGTTTTACCCCACAATCGAAGGTTTTTCTTGTATGTTACCACCGAAGGGCTGTAATTAGGCATACGGAGTTCTTGGAGATTGAAAAACAGGCGCTGCTAGACTTGAATCGATATTATTTTTCAGACTCCACATATAGGTTTTACCCCATACTCGGAACTTTGAAGGTTTTTCCTGTGAGGTACCACCGAAGTGGCTGTAATTAGGGATTCCGAGTTCTTGCAGTGTGAAAAACAGGTTTGCTGGAAATTGCAACATAGATGGCGCAGCTAGAATTGAATCGATATAATTTTGTAGTTTGCTATGAATCTCCATTTAAAATTGTGAACCTGTCTTGGCCTATTTTGTCTAAAATTTAGTCAAAAAACTAAAAAAAATTTCCTCCTCTACACCTCGTACCCAATCTACAATACCTCAAACTAAAACAATATTCTTATGCTTCACAAAAATTGTTTCTTGATATTGCCATTAAATGTGTACAGCGACTGGTTGCACATCACATCAAAATAGTTTGTGCCGTACAATTGCAGCAAATATTGTTTTGTTGCAGCAAACAGTAAGTGTTGCTCGATTCGACTGATTATCATTCCATACAGCTCCATACAAAACGATGGCAAAGTAGTCAGCCATCAAGTCATTTCGTTTGTAAGTTCCTTAAAGACAATACGATGACGACGCTCTAAGTACCCTCCTCATCGGAGTAATGGTGGTGGATGGCAAGTATTACTGGCTGGCGAATGCCATCAAAATGATGGTTGCCTGAACTGTGTGTGTGTGGATGTGTTCGGGGTATTTTGCGCCTGGTTGGTGCTATTGCTGCCGCCGTTGCTGCTACAACTCCGCCCTAAATGTTGTATTTCTTGACGTTTTAAAGGAATTCTTTAGGTCTTCGTTATTGTTTGTGTTGTTGTTGCTTACTTACTTTTGCTACATTGATCGCACGAATCAAGCGCAAGATTACTCACGCGAATCCAATTTGGAAATTGCTTATTAGCACTGCAGCTGCCGTCGCCGTTGTCGTTGTTGCTGCACCACCATAAGCGTAATTTGCCACAATATTGCAAAGGCAAGAATGGGTAGCTGACTGTTGTTGTTGCCTGCTGCAATATTTAGGTTCTGCGACAACCCAAGACAGCAGCACAGCAGCAGGAAAACATTAAACATTACCTACCACTTATATCACCTTCCTCTCCTTGTTAGATTTTTACCGCATGCATAAGAAACCGTTTGTTTGAAACACTAACATGTATATAAGGTACTATGGCAATAAGCAGGGTCCGGACAATAAAGTTTTCAAAACGTCGTTGTTAGATATATAAAATAAATGTCAATAATATTTTCTAACTGATGTTTATTATTATATCCTCAACCTTATTGCTAGTGAGGGTATGTAAACTTTAATACGTTCAGCTTCATCGAAATTTTGTTATTAGAACCCATGTTATGTTGAGCCTGTTGCCACAAGAGAGTAATCGATTCCATTCAAACTTTGCCCATTATAATATTTTACCAAAATTACATCTAGTTCGAAAATGAGGAACACCGGTCCACTCCTTCTGATAGCTCTAACGCAGTATCCGATTTGAAACAAACATAGCACAAACTAGTATATTAACCAAGCTTGTATAATGATGGCAGGTGGGACCAGCCCCAACTTCTTCTAGCACCTAAAGGGCAAAAAGTTTGAAACTGTATAAATTACATATGAAGCGTTCGGATTATCAACTTTCATTTAATCTTTTAATTTAATTTTTTTTAAGAAACATAGATCCAAAGATTTATCTCATAAGTCCCCAGAAAGCGTAAAAATTGTTTTCGATTTAAGTAAGGTTAAATTCCAATTTGCACGCATCAAAGGCAAATCAGTGGATACTGCCCTACATGAGGTGTTCGGACACATCAAGAAGAACGTGAATGAATCCAGTTTCACCTTGGATGTGTTCCACGGCATTGAAGGAGAATGTGAAGCTGGAATCTACCTGTTCCACGCTTAAATGTACAGGTGTCTTCTCAACTCTAACATAATGAATTGAAAGGCAGAAATGTTACTATTTTAAAATTCCGGCAGCCCACTTTGGTTGGTGTGAAATAAAATTTTCCCTCTGAAGCAAAATACCTCAAGACAATACTTTACCTAACTTAAACGTGGAAAACGGATGAAGATGAGCGCACTAAGAAATGTCAAATAGCGCTCTGCTCATGTAGGAATTCCATAGGAAAGTGTTGGGGACTAAAACCAGAAATTATACGTAGCGATGGTTTTCCCAATACTAACTTATGCATGTCTTGTATATTTTTATGGGACTGACAAACGAAACATCTCGGTCAAAATAAGGAATGTAAAATGATCAACATAACTTCTGATAACTGAGGCCCACAGAATTATATCCGAAGCTGTCTTGAATTCTAAATATCCAACCATTGGGCATTTTGGTTAAATTTCAAGCGACGAGGAGTGCTATGAGATTCGGAGAAACTAACGATAAAATATTAATTTTAATTGGGTACCAAGACATAGTGAAATAAATATAAATATAATTCTATTGACAAAACGAGTCTGAAATCCCCAAAATATCGAATAATGGGGGAATATATGGTTATATGGATACTACCCTAAAAACTTGACCAATATTAATCACTTTCGGTAGGAAGATTTGATATTGAATGAGAATCACATGTAGCAAATTTCCCACAATTCGGTTGGAAAACGTGTCCAAATTCCATATAATACTGAATATTTCGAGGTACCATTGTATGGGGGCTATACCAATACGTGGACGGATATAAACGATTTCCAATACCAATCATCCTAGGAGTAATGTCAATATCAGTGTAAAATTTCTCTATGATTCTCTATCATTTCAACAGGCAGACGGATAGAAATTTTGGGGTTACCATTATATGAAGCCTACCGGTAAAAATATACCGATATATTACATTGTATGAAATAAATGAAATGAATATGAAATATTTATAATTTCTAGTGTATAGATTCGGTACCCATTTAGATCCTAATATTGTCTTCCACATGATCCTCCATCGGATTCGTGGTTTTTCCCTTCTACGTCAGTTGGCTCGCTTATACATGCCTTTTGAGCCGGGCATCCTCATCCATTCTCACAACATGAGCTAGTCGTTGCAGCTCGATGCGTCTGACTATGTCGATGTCCGAGAATATGGGGTACAACTCATGGTTCATTCGACGGAGATATTCACCGTCAACGCAGATCGGCCATAGGAGAATTTTTCTCTTAAGCACTCAAAGAAATGCCTTTTCTCCTTGCGCAAGTACCCATGCTTCTGACCCATGCATCAGTATCAGT